CACGCTTGTATTTCAATTTATGTGCGCTAATGTGCCTACCTATCTCCTTGAGCCTCAGGAAATCCAACTTTCGCTTGGGATGAGGGTGGTAGAAAAGTGGTAGTGAGATGAGGGATCGAGCTGAGCTTAGAAGAGTTTGGAGAAGCAGCAGCGCTTTTTTCAACGAGAGGAGGTTAGAGGAACTTAGACAAGGTTGGAGCAGCCACGTGAACAGACCATACAGCTTTGACGTTCAATTTATCGTGAGCATAAAGAAACAGATGCTTCTTAGCGAGTACAGGACTGTAGTGTAATTTCTCATCTCAATGTCACGACAATTCGGGCCAAGAGCACATCATTTATACACCTTCGGTATTCATCCAAAGTAGTTGGGGTGGGACAGCTAGTGAACACTTATCAGCAGAGATGAATCAGTGACGAGACGATGAACATAGCGGATGAACGTCATGTCGTGTTGTTCACACCGTTCCGCTATTGAAGCCGTCCAATTCAACTGGTATTGACGGGGTTAGTGTCAGCATGTTCCAAAAGTTCTACTGGGGCATGGGTCACGTCCTCCTGGATATCCTGAACTCCAGCCTCACCACCAACAGCGTGCCCAGCCCGTGGAAACACGCAATGGTAACACCGATTCCCAAAGGACAGGGACCATCTGAGCCAGCAAACACCCGGCCGATTTCCATCCTACCGGCAGTGGCAAAAGTTGTCGAACGAGTCGTACAGCGCCAGCTGGTTCAGTACATGGAGGTGAACCGGCTGTTGTCTGCCACCCAGCACGGCTACCGTCGCGGACACAGCACCGAAACGGCACTCGGTGTTATATCAGACCGTGTGCTGGAAGCGATGGATGCTGGAGAGGTATCGATACTGGTGCTATTAGACCTGTCAAAATGCTTTGATGTGGTGCCGCACCGCAGGCTGTTGGACAAACTCGCGCTGTACGGGGTGGAAACGGAGTGGTTTGCGGACTACCTCAGCGGCCACACGCAGCAAGTGCAGATGCCCAGCGGCGACGGTGGATACGTACGATCCGGTGTGAAGCCGAACACGATCGGCGTGTACCAGGGCGGATCACTTAGCTGCACATTGTATACGGTGTTTGCAAATGAAATGTATCTGTATCTACCTGCCAATGTCACGATGGTCCAGTTCGCTGACGACACCCAGCTCCTTGTAAGCGGCAAAAAGCGCGACTTGCCACAGGTGATAGAACGAATGGAACAGGCTCTTGAGTGTTTGTACCAATGGTTCTGTACCAACTCAATGAAGCTTAATGCAGCTAAGACGCAAGTTGTCGTGCTTGGAACTCCTGCTATGCTCCGAGGACTGCCGTCTGTCACACTAAATGCGATGGGTACTGTGATTCCAGATTCTAGAGTCGTCAAAAACTTAGGAGTGATTATGGACAACCATTTGAAGTTCAATGATCATGTCGATCATATCACTGCTAAATGTACCGGCGTCCTTATCGGTCTGATGCATGCCAAACATGTTATACCAAAGGTATCTCTGTCAGTGATAGTAGAAGCGCTTGTGAACTCACTCATCAGGTACTGCATATCAGTGTACGGCACGTGTGGAGTCACTCAGCTTCATCGCGTGCAGAGACTTTTAAACTTTGGTGCTCGTGTCATTAGCGGTCGTCGTAAATACCACCATATTAGCGATGTACTCCGCGACCTGCAGTGGCTGAATGCACCTAGCCTTGTTAAGTACCACCGGATCTGTGTGGTGCACACGCTCGCTACGACGGGCAAGCCCGAAGTTCTCGCAGAAACTATCGGTCGCACCGTGCACCACTCGTACCAGACACGTGCTGCGGGCAACCACATGTTGCCGAGAATTCGCACTGAAGCTGGTCGACAGCGGCTCTGCTACGACACTGTGCGCGAGTATGACCGCTTACCGTTCGATGTCACCGCTCGCAACTTTCGACACCAGCTCAAAAAGCACATTTTTATGGAGCAGTCTGCGATGTCTAGTTAGTTTCAGTTGAGCACTGTGTCTTGAACCTTGTGTATTTACATATTTGACGTATTGCAATGAAAAGCCATGTTCCATGGATTTGCTGTGAATAAAGTATCTGTATCTGTATCTGTATCTATAGTAGGTAGAGGAGATGAACTCAATTAATTGCATTGTGCCAGTTTATCTGAAATGTACAGTCTCTCTTCAAAGTATATACGCACCCGGTAAACCGACTGCCACAGATCCAGTTCGGCCCACGGTCTCCCCTTCCTCACCAACATCCTTATCCATCCCTCACGTCAAGCGGTTCGGTGACTCTAAAACATAGCAGCCCTTTCTCGGACGGACTTGCTGGTACCGCCGCACCGTTGCTCGGTACTATAAAAGAGAGACTGTACGTACCCTCGATTGAGGTTGCAATGAGAGGACAACATATAAAATGGACTCTGTTTGGACAACTTTGACAAATGATACTTTTAAATGCTGTCCTGTTCTTAAATGCCCTGTCCTGGAAAGGACTTAGCGACAGTGCTAATCACCTATGTACGTCTTTTATGTTGAGCACTTCGGTCTATTTCGTTTGTTTTTGTCATATAATCCTTCACATTAAGCACTACATATAATAGTTTCATACTTCTTCGACACTTCAATCAAAGTGTCTTAACCGGTTAACTATTCTAGTTGTTGGTATATCTATTTCGCAAGCTGCCTCTTCAATGGGTAAATATGCCCGTATAACTCTCTCCTCCTCCTCCTCCTCCTCCTCCTCCTCTCTCTCTCTCTCTCTCTCTCTCTCTCTCTCTCTCTCTCTCTCTCTCTCTCTCTCTCTCTCTCTCTCTCTCTCCCATACTCCGTTAGCCTCCCGCACCTCCCTCTCCGTTCGACGCAGACGCAGTGACAGCTGGCGGATGCTCGCCGGTCCCGCCCCGTGTAACCTCTGCCGTGTTTTGTTGTTCGCCACCCCTAACTCAGTTTGTTACCGGACTCCGCTCCTCAATGAGCGTTCGACGGACGACACGCGGGTTCCGTAATGCGGTTACGCAGTGACGGAGATATGAATACAGCTCTGCGGCTAGCGGGAGCGGGAGCGGGGCGGGGGTGTTGTCGTGGCAGAGAAGAACCATCGTGGAAATAGTAACTGCTTGCGCAGTTGGTTTCTCAGTCAATATGCGATGTATCACTGTGGATCGCTCTAAAGAGTGAATTATAAAATCAATGTTTGTTGGATTACCGCGGTGTGTAATGAGTATGCATGAAGATTGCACCACTACTCAACCTAATTACCACTACTTTGTGGTTGTTGGGTATACTGAAATAATGATAATAAAAAATAACTTAGGCTGTTCCATGCGGCCTCTACCACAAATCGTACAGATAAACCGACTTTTCTACCACTGCCATGAGAGTTGGAGTGTGCTGAGATGAGCATGAAAAAGTGAAAATTGTTACAGCTGTGTGAAAGCACAGAACAGTTACTAATGATTTTCAAACTCGGTTGGACATATCAAAAATTCACCTGCAAAACGAGAACGTTAAGCTAAGATCGTCACCTTTGATATCCGCATCCGGAGTGTCCTTATCTAGAGAGCTGCTTTCTCCGGTAACCTGGGTTAGGTGTCTGGCAGCCTGGAATATGTAATTATGAGTTTATAAATTATTGTTTAATATCATTAGTTGTTAGGGATTATTACTTATGATAAAATACGAACAATACATTTGCAGCAATTCTGTGCTCGCTTCTCGTTTGCATCGTTGGCTGACTGACCTCCCAATTACAGGAAAGTCTGAGTGTGATCAAGATCCAAGGATAAAGAACGGTTGGTTTTTCTGACTCGCGACCTCGGGCCTCCTTCGGGCACTTTTACAGAAACTTGTCCCGCTCACCAAGTGAGCTGACAAGACTTTGAGGAGGTAGTAAGGTGTTCATGGATTATTGTGAACTTGTTTGCCATTGGCACTATTCCCAAGGATAGATAATATAGGCTGAAGCAAGTGGCTACCTCTATAATTTCCAAACAAATGCTCATTGTCCCGGCTTCGGGCAGACAGCCCCCAATCCTCGTGGACCGTCTAGCAGACACTAGCGCCACCTGAGTAGAGCACACCGGGCCCTGGCGGCAGAGCTGGAAAACAGGACCGCCGAGGCGCTCTCCACCCCAGCAGCGAGCAGTATAAAACAGACTCTAAACACAAGATTCGTCGACATTTTCGGAGAATTACAAAAGATGCAAGGTAGGGTACTTTACTAAATATGCCCTTTATACATATACGAGTGCATCCATGGTCACCATCCACAAAAGGCAGCGAACATAAATACACAGCAAGGGAATATAAACAGGTCCCGTCATTAGTGGTTGCGTATACTTCAGGCTGCAGTTCTGTCACAGTAAATCTGCGAAACTCAGCGTGACTTATACTATACCTATTGTCGTAATTTTTCGGTCACGCTGGTGTGATAAACCTTCACGATAACTTTCGACAGACGGTTGGAATACTTAAATACAGATAGTCATATCCTAAATCTGGTCACTCGTATTGTCTCTGGTAGCGACATTGAGTGTTTAAATGACAAAAATAAATGCATCATAAAAAATGAGCAAAAAAACAACAACAACAACAACAAAGGAAAGGTAAAATGAACAGCGAAATTCCATATTGAGGGATTTACAAGAACCTTGTCAGTCATAGAAAATTTAATGACCTATCTCCTATCGAACCGTGCTCTCCTCTCTGTTAGGCATTTTCAGTAGAGAAGCAAATCACTCCTTTAAACCATTGGCATGCTATTCATGCACGTAACTGAGCCCCATTCGGTTGGTCCGATATGCCGCCCCGATCTGTGCCCTCCGCCGTGACGGGTCGGCGCCGGCGTCACTGCCACTGACCCCCGCTGGCGACACGGACGGCACGCGCCGCACCGGTCCGGACCGTCACGTCACGTCACTGTCACGGGCCGGTGACGGCGTGCAGCCGCTCGTGACGCCCGGAGACGCCGCGCCGCGTCCCCGCTCGTGACGCCGCCGCGTGTACTCAGTTGAGGTGAGACGTCCGGGGCTGAGACTGGCACCGTCAGACGGTCACAGGGCGGTCGAGTGGTGGCAGACCGCAGGATCGGCGTTCGAGCTACTGGTTTGTGTTCAGAGGATAGTGCGAGGTACGGAAGGCCTGAAGAGCGTGAGTCACTGGTAATCGTGTGTGATCTGCGGAACGGTATAGCGGAACCAGAAGGGTGGCGAGGCTGAAAGGGCAGAGCAGACCGCTCGGAAGGGTCTGTACCGGGAGGCCAGGTGTGGTCACCGGAGTGGGACAGTAGCTGTACAGCAGCGAGACAGGTGGAGCTGAGACCGGACAGTGACCGGACAGTGGTCGGACAGGTGTAGGTGTCTAGGCGGGACAGTGACCGTGGAGCGTTTTATTAGGATAGTGGCGTGGAGACTGTGTTTGATTGGGACAGTGGCCGGAGAGGTAGTGCTTGATTGTAACGGTGATTGGAGAGGTGAGCTTCAGGACACCTGCTGACATATTAGTCCGGAACTAGACGGTGACACGATAGTGGCTATTCGCTGGGGACCACGTGAACTGCCAACTCCGAGTTACTGCTTCAGACAGGTGCACCAACTGAGCAGCCAGACTGAGTGTGATTGGAAGAGCGTTACTCCGGGGAGAGTATAAATAAGGACACGATGACGGCGTTACTGTGGCTGCTGCTGCTGCTCGGAAGCTCTTTGGTAAGTAGGCAATACACATACCTCCACATGTTGTTGAGAGCATTCAGCGCTTAAAGTTGAATTAAAATGTGATTTCAATAGATATGAAAATTAATTGATTATACGGTCTTACTTTTGGCAAGAACATACTATGTACCTAGATATGGAGCATTCATGTCAAATTCCATAATACTAGACGCCTAGTCTATGTTTTTGCCCATTAACCATTTCATAATTTTCGTACGCAACGTCAACCCGGCGAAACAAACAGTTGTTGCATGTAACCAAACAAATAATAAGCAACGTCTTATGATTGTCTTAAGTAAACCGGACATGAATTGACGAACTATCAAACGATTCACAATTAATTATATAATTAGTCAAGACTTATAAAAAAGGTACCAAACCGTTCATGGCTGTTGTTTCCTCCATAGATGAAATGTCTGATGGTAGATAAGAAAGCAGGCATGTGAAACAATAATGATGTACCTTGTAGCTGATCGCTTACGATTCGGTGGTCGGAAAATAAGCTCCATCATGAATCAGTAACTCTTTCTTTTCTTTATTTTCAGTTATGTGCAGCTGCAGGACAAGATTATGAAGGTAAGCGCTACAAATAATCAAGAATTTTATCATTTTACTATTTCCGTATGTTGATTTTCAGTGTAGTTGCCTTTCATCCCAGAGACTCCTTATTATTTCTACTGACCCCAACAATTAATATCTGAACCGTCTCTCGCAGTTGCCGTCTACTCCATACTGCCTCGGATCTAAACACTCTACCTATTTTTATCTATTTCTATTTTTATCTATCACTCTATTTTTGTCTAAAATGACTGAGATCATATCCATTCCCTATTCAGTATTCACCCTCCTACCTACCCACAGTGCTCAAAATGTGACCCCCCCCCCTCCCCGGCAGTGGCCGAGATCCGCTGCAGTTTCTCCGGGCAGGACGGCGCTCCGGACCGCCTCTCGGCCCGGCTCCGGAAGCCCCCCGGATTCCGGGGCGACCCGCTGTTCGCCGACGACCGTCAGGTGATCCCCCAGCTGGACAGCGCGTGTCAGATCCGGGCTGACCCCAGTGACCCGGACCGACTCATCTACAGCCTGCTCGTCACGGACTTCTCCCGCTGCGGGGTGCTCAAACGAGACGTGAGTGCCGCACACGTCACGGGAGCTGCACGCTATATAAATTCCTGTTTTTTTTTTTAATGGCGTTTTAACGGTTTTGAGGAAGGCGTAGGAAGTTAGGAATGTCTCTCTTGCATTTTTATCTGAGGGAGTATCATAAATATTCAAAGAGAGAAGCAGCATAGAGATAAGAAGCAGTGCTGATGCAACTAGGCAGATAACAGACCAAGATCTGCTTCCGTTTTTATAAGGGTTGCAACAATTTTTTATAACATCATGTCTATAATGAAGTTATAAGTTCAAAGAATAGGTATTGTACAAAAATAGCATACGTTGAAACTGCGTGCATAGTCTGAGAAATAACTTAATTGCTTTCTATCTGCATTAGTCACTAAGCGGTTTAGAAATGTCTTTCTTACAATTGAAGTAAATTGGAGAAAAATCGATTCACTCTATTGCACGCCCAATTACACCCCTGTCCAATTCACAGACTGCTCTTCAAATCACCGACAATTGCTCACTCCATGCCAGTGGTCCGTCTAACAATCGCTAATTCTCTGACCTTGTCGCCGTCATTAGTGTCTGTCGCTGGTTTATTCCGTCTGTGTTATTCCCGTCCGGGGTGGGCGAGTGACCAGCGCGGTTCGCGCTCCACCAGCAGCGCGTGCTTCCGCCGCCTGTTTAGTGTCGGAGAGCCACCTGTTTGTGACGCCGCTCGTCGTCAACATCCTCCCCCGTGTGTACGCGCACGTTCCCTCTTCAAGGCCGGCACAGCGGCGGGACCTGGCGACTAATTAGGAGACGTCGCTGGCGGAATAAGTGGACCACAGTCCTTGGACCTGTCACAGTTTTTAGAAGATGACATTTCACGGTGGCCAGAATTGACTGTTATTGCAAATGCAGATGAAAAGCAGAGGTCCTTGCTGGAAAATGTAACGGAAGTTGGCACAGATTCAGCACAGATTCAGCACAGCACAGATTCGGTAGGGGAAAAAAAGGCCCCGGTAGAGGGAAACCTTTATGACCCGTTTTTCCCTAGAAATGACGTCACAAACGGGTAAAAAACCACACCAATCGAAAGCTCTCGTTTACCCAGACACAGTCCTGCATGAAAATTTCACTTTTTCCCCATAGGAAAGCTTTTACGGGAAAATCAAAATTTTGGGTCAATGGGGGGTCCCCCCGATTTCGTTCAAAATCGGCACACAGGTGCCCCACCACCAGCCGAGAAGCTTTCCCCAAAACGGTCCCCGTTGCATTGACGTTTAAGGCCCTTAAAGCCCCGTAAACTCGTAAAAAATCCGTAAATTCGCCCTTGTACGGCCAAAAACGGGGCGCTAGGGTAAAAATGGGTATCAATCGAGAGCTCTCGTTTACCCAGACACAGTCCTGCAGGAAAATTTCACTTTTTCCCCATAGGAAAGTTTTTACGGGAAAATCAAAATTTTGGGTCAATGGGGGGTCCCCCCGATTTCGTTCAAAATCGGCACACAGGTGCCCCACCACCAGCCGAGAAACTTTCCCCAAAACGGTCCCCGTTGCATTGACGTTTAAGGCCCTTAAAGCCCCGTAAACTCGTAAAAAATCCGTAAATTCGCCCTTGTACGGCCAAAAACGGGGTGCTAGGGTAAAAATGGGTATCAATCGAGAGCTCTCGTTTACCCAGACACAGTCCTGCAGGAAAATTTCAGTTTTTCCCCATAGGAAAGTTTTTACGGGAAAATCAAAATTCTGGGTCAATGGGGGGTCCCCCCCGATTTCGTTCAAAATCGGCACACAGGTGCCCCACCACCAGCCGAGAAACTTTCCCCAAAACGGTCCCCGTTGCATTGACGTTTAAGGCCCGTAAAGCCCCCTAGACTCGTAAAATATCCGTAAATTCGCCCTTGTACGGCCAAAAAAGTGGTGCTATGGTAAAAATGGGTATCAATCGAAAGCTCTCGTTTACCCAGACACAGTCCTGCAGGAAAATTTCATTTTTTCCCCATAGGAAAGTTTTTACGGGAAAATCAAAATTATGGGTCGATGGGGGGTCCCCCCCCCGATTTCGTTCAAAATCGGTACACAGGTGCCCCACCACCAGCCGAGAAACTTTCCCCAAAACGGTCCCCGTTGCATTGACGTTTAAGGCCCGTAAAGCCCCCTAGACTCGTAAAATATCCGTAAAACCGCCTTTGTACGGACAAAAAAGTGGTGCTATGGTAATAATGGGTATCAATCGAAAGCTCTCGTTTACCCAGACACAGTCCTGCAGGAAAATTTCACTTTTTCCCCATTGGAAAGTTTTTACGGGAAAATCAAAATTTTGGGTCAATGGGAGGTCCCCCCTGATTTCGTTCAAAATCGGCACACAGGTGCCCCACCACCAGCCGAGAAACTTTCTTCAAAACGGTCCCCGTTGCATTGACGTTTAAGGCCCGTAAAGCCCCCTAGACTCGTAAAATATCCGTAAATTCGCCCTTGTACGGCCAAAAAAGTGGTGCTATGGTAAAAATGGGTATCAATCGAAAGCTCTCGTTTACCCAGACACAGTCCTGCAGGAAAATTTCACTTTTTCCCCATAGGAAAGTTTTTACGGGAAAATCAAAATTATGGGTCAATGGGGGGACCCCCCCCCCCCCCGATTTCGTTCAAAATCGGCACACAGGCGTCCCACCACCAGCCGAGAAACTTTCCCCAAAACGGTCCCCGTTGCATTGACGTTTAAGGCCCGTAAAGCCCCCTAAACTCGTAAAATATCCGTAAATTCGCCCTTGTACGGCCAAAAAAGTGGTGCTATGGTAAAAATGGGTATCAATCGAAAGCTCTCGTTTACCCAGACACAGTCCTGCAGGAAAATTTCACTTTTTCCCCATAGGAAAGTTTTTACGGGAAAATCAAAATTTTGGGTCAATGGGGGGTCCCCCCTGATTTCGTTCAAAATCGGCACACAGGTGCCCCACCACCAGCCGAGAAACATCCCCCAAAACGGTCCCCGTTGCATTGACGTTTAAGGCCCTTAAAGCCCCGTAAACTCGTAAAAAATCCGTAAATTCACCCTTGTACGGCCAAAAACGGGGCACTAGGGTAAAAATGGGTATCAATCGAGAGCTCTCGTTTACCCAGACACAGTCCTGCAGGAAAATTTCACTTTTTCCCCATAGGAAAGTTTTAACGGGAAAATCAAAATTTTGGGTCAATGGGGGTCCCCCCCGATTTCGTTCAAAATCGGCACAGAGGTGCCCCACCACCAGCCGAGAAACTTTCCCCAAAACGGTCCCCGTTGCATTGACGTTTAAGGCCCGTAAAGCCCCCTAGACTCGTAAAATATCCGTAAATTCGCCCTTGTACGGCCAAAAACGTGGTGCTATGGTAAAAATGGATATCAATCGAAAGCTCTCGTTTACCCAGACACAGTCCTGCAGGAAAATTTCACTTTTTCCCCATAGGAAAGTTTTTACGGGAAAATCAAAATTTTGGGTCAATGGGAGTCCCCCCGATTTCGTTCAAAATCGGCACACAGGTGCCCCACCACCAGCCGAGAAACTTTCCCCAGAACGGTCCCCGTTGCATTGACGTTTAAGGCCCGTAAAGCCCCCTAGACGCGTAAAATATCCGTAAAACCGCCTTTGTGCGGACAAAAAAGTGGTGCTATGGTAAAAATAGCACCTGGTGGTGGGGCACCTGTGTGCCGATTTTGAACGAAATCGGGGGGGACCCCCCATTGACCCAAAATTTTGATTTTCCCGTAAAAACTTTCCTATGGGGAAAAAGTGAAATTTTCCTGCAGGACTGTGTCTGGGTAAACGAGAGCTCTCGATTGATACCCATTTTTACCCTAGCGCCCCGTTTTTGGTCGTACAAGGGCGAATTTACGGATTTTTTTACAAGTTAACGGGGCTTTAAGGGCCTTAAACGTCAATGCAACGGGGACCGTTTTGGGGAAAGTTTCTCGGCTGGTGGTGGGGCACCTGTGTGCCGATTTTGAACGAAATCGGGGGGATCCCCCATTGACCCAAAATTTTGATTTTCCCGTAAAAACTTTCCTATGGGGAAAAAGTGAAATTTTCATGCAGGACTGTGTCTGGGTAAACGAGAGCTTTCGATTGATACCCATTTTTACCATAGCACCACTTTTTTGTCCGTACAAAGGCGGTTTTACGGATATTTTACGAGTCTAGGGGGCTTTACGGGCCTTAAACGTCAATGCAACGGGGACCGTTTTGGGGAAAGTTTCTCGGCTGGTGGTGGGGCACCTGTGTGCCGATTTTGAACGAAATCAGGGGGGGGGGCCCCCATTGACCCAAAATTTTGATTTTCCCGTAAAAACTTTCCTATGGGGAAAAAGTGAAATTTTCCTGCAGGACTGTGTCTGGGTAAACGAGAGCTTTCGATTGAAACCCATTTTTACCATAGCACCAATTTTTGGCCGTACAAGGGCGAATTTACGGATATTTTACGAGTCTAGGGGGCTTTACGGGCCTTAAACGTCAATGCAACGGGGACCGTTTTGGGAAAAGTTTCTCGGCTGGTGGTGGGGCACCTGTGTGCCGATTTTGAACGAAAACGGGGGGACCCCCCCATTGACCCAAAATTTTGATTTTCCCGTAAAAACTTTCCTATAGGGAAAAAATGAAATTTTCCTCCAGGACTGTGTCTGGGTAAACGAGAGCTTTCGATTGATACCCATTTTTACCATAGCACCACTTTTTTGGCCGTACAAGGGCGAATTTACGGATATTTTACGAGTCTAGGGGGCTTTACGGGCCTTAAACGTCAATGCAACGGGGACCGTTTTGGGGAAAGTTTCTCGGCTGGTGGTGGGGCACCTGTGTGCCGATTTTGAACGAAATCGGGGGGACCCTCCATTGACCCAAAATTTTGATTTTCCCGTAAAAACTTTCCTATGGGGAAAAAGTGAAATTTTCCTGCAGGAGTGTGTCTGGGTAAACGAGAGCTCTCGATTGATACCCATTTTTACCCTAGCGCCCCGTTTTTGGCCGTACAAGGGCGAATTTACGGATTTTTTACGAGTTTACGGG